ATAATAGAAAGGACACCATATACACAGGGAGGACGTCCTTAAACCACAAAGGACGTCCTTCGGCCTATATTCCCGTCCTTCGTCCCCATGTCCGTCCTTTCTCTTAAATAATAATTTTATAATAATTATTATTATTTTATATATTATAGTACTCAATATAATATATTTATTATATAAAGAAATATTTATTTATTATAGGGTAAGTATAAATTTTTATTCTTACTATAGTTTATTATAAGTATTATATTAGTATGTGGTGTTATATTGTTTTGTTCAAGAATTAAAATAAAACCATTATTAAAGTATATAAATATGGTTTAAATTATGATTATTTAATTAATTCATTAATTCTATTTATCTAAATAAAATAAAAATATTATTATAACAATAAAAACTATATCTAAAACAAATATTTAATGATAAATTAACCATATAATTATTACTACAATTAACTATCAAATTATTATTTTTATATTATAATTACTATTAATATAAATTATACAGTTTTAGACAAAACCTATGCAACTTTTGCAAAAATGGGGTGACTGAGTAAAAAAGAGGGGATCCTAAAAATAAAACTATTTTTTTGTCTTGATAATGCAACTCGTTCATTTTTATTTTTTTGTTTTTTCTTTGCAAATTTTATTTTTAATATGAACAATCTCAATAGTTTTTTTTAGTAAAAATACCATAAAAGTTAGCTTTTAAAAACAACACGAAAATCAAAGTTGATTTATTTTCAAAACAAAAGGTTCAATAAATGAACAAAGAAGACGATCGATTGCCCTAAAATCTTCTTTTTGTAAACAAAACCGTTTTCTTTCCACTTTCTATCCATTTTTGCGTTTTGGAAGAATTTCTACTAAAATATTATGAGTTTAAACTAAAAAAACTGAAATTTGAACAAAACAGTAAATGTTGCGTTGTGTCACAATGGATATGACGTCGGAGTCTTTAATTTATGTAAAAATCAACCAAGATTGTTCTGCGAGTATATGATTCAAGAAGTCGAAGAAGATGATGTTAATGATAAAGGCATGGAAATTAAACTTGAGGAACAATTAATTATGAAAAAGTGGTTGAGGAGAAGAAGGAGAGAAAATGGAAGATGTAACTGAACGAATAAACAGAGAGAAAGAATGAGAGTTTTTGTGAAAGACTATTTGATATGTTTGCTATGTAATGAATGTGTGTATCTACT